CCACCGGCATCACTATGTGCTCTGAGTCCTTTGATCAAATCTGGGGTCGGGCATGGTGGGTAGTTGCTAACCTTGGTTCCAAAATTTGGACCCTTTGATCCATGGAATGCTTTCTTCAGGTATCCTTTCTCCAATCCAAGATTCTCGCATAGCAAGTCCAAAAGTTCCTCTGCCAAATTTTCTAGTTTACCAGCAAAATCCTTCATTAATACCCTGCATAATCATCACATAAAAACACAATCATTTGGAGTATACAGGAGGAGGTCAAATTTGCTGAATTATATACGTAACTACGTATGTATTGTTTTTTCTGTTTACCTGTATTCATCTCCAAGATCAGGTATTTCGGAGACGTTGGAGGTGGGGAGATGGCGCAGGAAGAAAGTGCTCTCCCAGTCCATATTGGTAACTTCTATATTAACACCTTCTAATGCTTTAGCTGCCACCATTTCTTTAAACCTCTGTTCCATACACTTCTTGTAGTGCTCTTTCGTCATTTTTTCCACCGAGTCCAGTAGCTCATGCGAAATCCCATGGTTCACCAACTAGACATGCATTCAAAGTATACATCATTAAATCCACACTAAAATTTCCAATTTTAGGGTCGTGAAAGGTGTCACCGTATCATTTTGTTTTGTGCAACCGTTTATATTTTGAAACTACAATGGTGACACAAGTTTCCCTTGGTAGACTTTGTTTGCGCGGCTTTTCTCCCACCCAAACCCGGGTTTGAAACCCATTTTTGTCATTTTCCTTGGTTTTTAGCTTTTAGCTTTTACTTATTATATTTCTGAAAAGAAAATTTGCAATGAGACTCGAACTCAGGACCTCATATCTGAAAGACAAAGAACTAACCGATAGACCAAATGATGATTTTGTGAAAAATATTCATATATTTGTTTTTTATAGTCAAATGGTGCCACCACTTGAAAAAGTTTCTAGGCCCGCTGTCTGAAGATAACAGACAGGAAGATCCCAAGTAGCCTTTGAAGACTCAAATGCGACTCGTGGGGAGGAGCCAGAAGACCCTGCTTTTTTTCCGCCAGTTGAGCTGGCTCCCGAGGTCTGTGTCCAGTGTTTTGTTCCGGGGCTAATGGGGTTTGAACCCATGACCCAACCGGATCCCATTCACGTTAAAAGTTGGATATTGAATAGAACGAGAGATATACCTCAAAGAATCCCCAGTTTTCACAAGCATCCTTAATCTTGTCCATTGTGGCACACCTCTCTTCGCCATTTAGCTTCTCCATGTTGATCAAAGGGAAGTTTTCCATCTTGCTGTTTATGCTTTGATCTTTCTTCTACCTTTGTTGTGTGTTTGTTTGGTTACTTTGTTTGCAGAATGCAGAATGCAGAATGTTCTACTTCCTATTTATAGAAGATTCAGCTACCCTTCAAGACATTTTGGTCAAGATTGGAGAGAAGTTTGACTCATCTGGGGACTACCTGATGACATAACCAAGCCTCTGGATGTTAAAAGGTATTTTCTCTTTTATATATTTATTTATTACTCAAATATCCCAATCCCCTTCAAGAAAGAAAACTTAAAATTGATGCTGAGAGTCAAAATTAATATAACCAATATGTTAAGTAATGCTTGATAACTAGTTCTAGGATTGCCTTTATTTAGTAAAACATTTTCTTGTTAATAAAAAATATGGTAATTCTTTGAACTTGATTAATTTGTACACTCATATATTTATGATTGATGATCAGATATTTAACGCTTTAGATTAAGAAACAATCAAGATATATGTTGATGAACAATCAAGTTACCAATCATTTGTCTGGTATGCACATATACATAACAAGTAATTTGTAAGGTATGTAAATGTACATAACATGCACACATGCATTAAAATTAGGAGACATCTTCATTTATTTGGATGCACATGTACATAATATATATAATGGCTTGGGTTCACGTGAGACCCGTAAGACTAATTTATGTTCAATGATCAACTTTATAAGTTGATGATCTAATGGTTTAAAGTTGTACGGTGGCAATTTTGTGATTATTGAGAAGTCTAGTGGCAATTTTGTGTTTATGAATGTTCAGATTGTAGATCTAATCCAAGATTTGAGAATTGGTCTTACGGGTCTCACGAAAAACCTTAAAAACCCTTGGTCTCACATGATTCCAAGTCTATAATATATATATAGATATATATATAGATATATATATAGATATATATATATAAAGAAAAAAGCATGCATTGCACATTAGACATTCCATATTAAGTTATCTATCTCAGCCTAACAAGGACCCACTTTGACGGCTAAAATAGCAACTTATGGCTGCTAAAACCTTTAGTTTTATAATAATTTTATTTTTCTTTTTTTTTGTCTGATGCGATCGAGCCTATGAACGATTTTCTGCTCTCGAAGTCAAGTCTTTTTATATGTCAATGGATAATCTTCAACTCAATTGAAATTTTCCACAAAAGCGGCTTATATGCAGCCGGTTCTAGTCTTGTCCGGTTTCAGTTTAAAAGTCTCCCCAAATGTAGGTCAACAAGTTTTTGTCAAGTCTTCTCCTGTTTTATACCGTATGCAAAAGCATTCTTGTAAACCACAAGGGTGGTGCCTGATTGGTTTGAGCTTGGATCCAAAGGTCAAAAGTACCAGGAGGTCCCAGGTTCAAATCCAAGGAGAATAAAAATCCCCTTGTAGCCACAGAAGTTCAAATGCGGTGACTCCGGGCTATCTACAAAGTAGGTAGTCACCCTGGGATTAGTTGGCTCACTTAGCGGGTTGGATATCCAGGTTAATAAAAAAAAGCATTCTTGTAGACCGTGTGTACAAGAATACTGATTACCATACATATAAAAGAAAGGGAAGAATTAGTATTTGGATCTATAATATAAGAAACGCATACGTTTATGGGCCGTTTACCAAACGCAAACTGGGTAAGTGCTTAACATTATCAGCTATCAAAATGGATTGCTTGGAAACGTCTCTTACCAGGTCAGAGTCTTTTTTCGCTGTTACCGAGTAAAATTCTTTGTACTTGCTATGACTTTTATCAAGTATTCTCGATCTTTCTTATGCTCACTCGGTAAGATAAGTGATACCCGACAAGCGTTTGGTAAACAATCCCCTTACAATGGGTTTTTCGCTACTTTCTTGTTCCCCTAACAAATCCGAGCAGCCATTGTGCATGTGTTAATAGTGTTAATTGTGAATGTGTTGGGTCGACCACGATATTACAGTCGTTGAAAAGTAAGAAATGGTGGTCCTGCTGCTGAAAGAAGGTACGTTTTGTTTGGCTTTCTATTTTTGCATGCTTTTTAAATGTTTACCCATTTATTTTTTAATTAATGTTTTTTTTTTAATTTAAGGATATTAATTGTTTATTTGTCTGTTTACGCCAATAGTCGATTGATTATTGTGTACATCAAATAAGACACCTCCTTTTATTTATTTTTTTATTAACTTTATATTTAACCCGCTATGCGAGCCGACTAATCCCAGAGTTACCACCTGCTTTGCAAATAGTCCGGTGTCACCGCATTTGAACCTCCGTGGTCACAAGGGGATTTTTTTTTTCCTCCTTGGATTTGAACCTGGGACCTTCAGATATTTTTGACCTTTGGAGTCAAGCTCAAACCAATCATGCACCATCCTTGTGGTTTATGCCTCCTTTTATGAGAAAGTAATATAACTTATAGCACGTATAAGGAAATCATGTCGTAATTTAGCAACAAAAATTATATATTTATGGTATACATGATAGAGTCAAATTCTACAGTAACCAAAAAAGAAGAATAAGAAAACGGTTGAATCACTAAAATCACATGTTATTCACGCCTTTACATTCATGCGTTGACCGTTAGTGTAAAATCACATGTTATTTTGTATGTGATTTAACTGTTTTCATTTTCTTTTTGGTTATTGTTTTCGCCTGAACCTCCTTTATATGGATAATTTAATCACAAGAGTAAATCCTTGGAGGTGCACGTTTTGTTTTGGTTTTAGTCTTCCTTCCTGTTAAGTTGCATCACGTGCCTTGCACACGAGGACAAATGTGTAATTTCACTTTTTCCCACTCATTTCACGTTTTCGTCTCTCTCACTTCCCTCTACTTGGGAGTTTCCTGAAAAACTAGGGGTGATAAAAAACGACCCAACCTACTAACACAATCGTAACCCAGTTCATAATTAGTAGATGGGTTAAGATTTTCAACCCATTTAAATAAATGGATTAACCCGCCTAACTTATTTAAATAAATGGGTTGTGTTGAATTTTTTGATCTGTTTTCAATCTATTTATAACCTTTTTCCAACTCATTTAAAATATTATGTAATTTTATTTTATTCTTAATATTATATCTAGTGTTCTAATTTTTAATTTTGTTTTATTCTTAATTAAAAATCCTACCATCGTGAGATGAAAGGCCAAATTCCAATCGTCTTCGTTACTTTTAATCATTATGAAACCCTAAGAAAATTCTTTAGTTCATTACTCCATTTTCCAATTTATTTTGAATAATATATTTGTTGTGGTTGTGTTTTATTCAAACTTTGAACAATTTGTTTGTATCTGTGGTTGTGTTGTGTTTTATTCAAAAAAAATTAAATAGTCTAGTCTTTTTTTATTTAAAATTCTAAAATTAAATGATTCAGCCCATTTATTTAACAGGTTGGGTTAAAAAAATCATAAATATGTTAACTCGTTGTCAACCCATTTAGGTAACAGGTTGGGTTGGGTTGAGATTTTCAACCTGTTTAATAAATGGGTTGATTCCGAACCCAACCCAACATGATTAGTTGCAATCCCTATTGAAAACCCTCTCAGATGTGTCCTAGGGACGTTTCATTTAACGAAATGTTTTACAAATATTTGGATTTGAAAGGATTTAGAATCGAAATGATTTGAGATATTTGGTGTGTTTGGTTTGGAGGATTTGAAATAGAATTGAATTTCATTTTTATAGGTAATTTATAGAAACAAGTTATAAATAATCAAATTATATATTTTATTAATTGATCAAAAAAGAATGTTTTTAAATATATTTTTAAAACATTATTACAAACAAATCATATGAAATCTCGTGAAATGTTACCCCATAAGATTTTTAAATCCAACATTTGTGTGATTTCAATTCAAAACTTTTCTAACACGGGGTCCAATTTCAAATCCAGTTGAATCTTGTAAACGAACGGACCTTAAATGTGTTTTATTTAATTTAGTTTCTCTCCAATGATGTATATATATATGATTGGCAGACATGAATAAGACTTGGGAATTAGAGAAATGTCATTTTTATTCCTTTTGATTAAGGGTTTTTTTTAATTGTATTTTGGAAAGTACTTGAAGGGGTTTTTTCACTATATTTTGATTTTCTGGAAAGTGAAGTGGTTTTGTATTTTGTACTTTTTTTTCCCTTATGCCCAAAAACCTTTATATAGATGCCTTCAAGTCAAGGGGATGTGCAAAATCCTTCCTAATGGAGCGCGGCATAGTTACTTATCCGGACAGTGGCGAATCTAGGGGTTGTTTGTTTACCTCTTAATAATTTCATTAAGAGGCAACATATGAATCGTTAAGAGGTGAATCTTGTTTGGCAAAAAAAAAAAAAGTTTGCCTCTTAAATCATAATGGTTCTAAAGCCCTCTGAATGATTTTGTATCATGAATCTTCCTCAACCATTAATAGTCCTAATTTTATTGTACGCAATTACCAAACAATTATATTTTATTTTACATTGTATCATGAGAGCCTCTTAATCATTCTGACCACTTAATCATTCTGCACCAAACCATTCAGCAATTGTCAAACATATATACATGGAGCATTGATAATTATCTTCCACATTAGTCTTGACATTTAATTAGGATTGATACCAAACTGGTGCATTTTGGTGCACCTCATTAGTCTCGACATTCAATTATGATTGATACAAGGATGAAGATCTCTTCTAACGCTTCTTACCATTACTTCAACCTAGTGATGGCCAAAAACCGGTCCTGGGCCGGGACGGTCCCAACCGATCCCAAGATTTCTCATAACCGGCCATAACCGGTCCCGGCGTAACTGGTCCCGGTCCCGGCCGAAAAAGTTGAGCCCGGTCAAGCTTTATTGTAACAGGTTATGGGCCGCCGATCCCCGTCCCAACCGGTCCCGGTCATTAAAAAATATTTTTTTTATTTTTATTTTTTTAATGATATATATTTTTAATACATTATAAAATTTGTAATTGAGTCACTCAAATATACTTTAAAAATATGTTTTATTATAATTAAAACTACATTGTCTTACAAAATATAGCGAGAAACCGATAATTGTGAATGTTTTAGTGTGTTTTTTGCGAATCGATAACTTGGTATGTAAATCCTTCAACCAAGACACTTATATATAGTGTTTAAAAGGAAAAAAAATACAAAAATGGGCCAAAAAAACGGCTACATTTAAAAAAATAGCTACATTTTGTAAATATCGGGCTGGGCCATAACTAGTCCCAGTCCCGATCAGTCCCGGTCCCACGAAACACCCCAAATCCAAAACCGGTCCCAAATTTCGGTCCTTACCTGTCACGGGCTGGGCCGGTCCTTGGCCGGTTACGATCCCGGACCGGGCCTGTTTGGCCATCACTATTTCAACCTGACCCTTAACATATAATGGTATCCAGTAATCAGTTTAATGGGCTAATTTTTCTATGGACCAAACTGGGCTAAACTTCTTGTAGGATCAAATCTTATTTATTTCTTTTGGTCGAGACGAGATATATATTAAAAAATCAAAATTTTATTTAGAAAAATGTTTAGGTCCTCCAATTGTTCCCAAGGGCACAATTGTCTTTTAGTATATAACACTAAGAAAACAGCAGATGAATGAGGACACAATGGTAATCTTCTATACATATATATACATATACATCTATAGAGCTAAAATCATTTGTTAACCATGAAAAATTAATTAACTATACAAATCATTTAGACCAATCGTAAATCTTTGTTAAATTAGATTCTTCTATCACCATATAATTAATATTGAAAACACAATGGTAATCTTCTTCTTTTTTGTCTTGACTTCACATTCATTAATAGGCGGTTACAAAAACATCAATCACATCATTATAGCTAAAATAATATGTTTATTTTTTTTTCAAATTATAGATGACTTGTTATTTTAATATGTTAAGAAACTTGGATGTTCTATCTTCAACATATATGTAGTCGTCAATGTTCATATGGTGTATATATTGTTCACATGTATTCATAAAACAATGTCTATATACATCTAACATTTGGTCAATATGTGTTCACAAGCGAAACACTTTGATCATATATTATTGTGTTCACATGTGAAAGCCAATTACTTTAGTCATAAGTTTTAATATGTGCAAATAAGTGTTCATAAGTGTTCTCGTATGTTCATATGTGAAAGCCACGAACTAAGATTAGTTAATAAGTTACATATATGTTCATATATATATATATATATATATATTCATAAGTGTTCATAATGCAACACGGATGATTCTACGAATTATAAGAGGAATGAGCAATTATCGATTTGGACATCTCTCCCAAAAATACCCTTGTTCACCTATGTTTTGATATCCTTCTTTTTTAATTAATTACAAATATGCCACAATTAATCTCATTCATAGATTTTAAGAATCAAGGGTCAATATTGGTTCACAAAATTAACATCAATTATTAGGTTAACAAAAGAACATGCTCCTACATCTATCTATCTATCTAAATATATACACACACACACATATGTTGGAGGGGGTTTAATCAAATGAGAACTATGTAGTTTGTGATAATCGTGAGATTCAATGTGAACCACCCATTTGAGATATTTAAGGATATTTCTTACATAAGTTAAAACGGTAATTTAGTAATTTTATTTATAACAACTTATCAAAAGATTTAATTAATTTCTTTAAGGAAATTCATTGATTAATTTTAATTACCTAATATATATTATATTTTAAAGATATCCGTGGATCAAAATGTATCACAGTTATAATGTATCACAATGTATTTTCTTTGTTTTATAAAGTGTATTACAGTATGAGTTTTCCTTATTTCCGTTGCTTTAAAAAATGTATCACAATATTTATTTTTGTTATTTCAGTTGCTTTACAAACGTATCATAATACACATCTTGTATGTATATATGGATATCACACTGAATATCGTTTGTATATATTCTTTTAGATATCACAATGTGTATATTGTGTTCACATAAACTTCGTCGAAATAAATTTTGTCGAAGAGAGGAGGTATGAGATTTTTAAAATCTCAAAAACGCCTTTAATTAATATTTTAAGTTAAAATTACCATAATTCTTAATTTTCTAATTCAACATATAATTTGTAGTTGAGATTGGATATCACAGTCATCACAAATTATTGATTTCTTCTTTAAACAGTTACCTACATTACATATAATGTGTTATGCATAAATGCCCAATGTTAAAAGTCATTCTCATTTATGTCTATTTGTCCCTTTCTCTACTTCCTTTTTGTGCAAATTTTGTTTGAGTTTTAAATGTATCTTAATTGTTTTACCTTACAAAATGGAAAATAAAAAAGAAGAATTAAAGGTTGTTTTTTATCTCTTAATAATAGTTATATTAAGAGGCAATCTCTGAGTCGTTAAGAGGTAAATCTTGTTTGACAAAAAAAAAAAAAGTTTGTCTCTTAATGGTTCTAAAACCCTCTGAATGATTTTGTATCATGGATCTCTCTTAACCATTAAGAGCCCTAATTTCATTGTACACAATTACCAAACAATTATATTTCATTTTGCACTATATCATGAGAGCCTATTAATTATTCTGACCACTTAATCATTCTGCACCAAACCATTCAGCAATTGTCAAACAGCCCCTTAAAATGACATAAATTCATGACACAATTTTGTTGATTTTTTACTAAATTTTGTAAAATTTAACGATTTTATGAGTTGTTTATCAAACGCTCATTGAGGAAGTGTTTATTGGATATCATTTACCTTATCATGTGAACATAATCAAAATCATGGATCTTACCCTGTAACAGATATAAGAAGAATGAAGAATCATATATAATAAAGTAAGTGAATATGATGACTACTGTCAGTAAACACTTATCAGATAAATTTTTAGTAAATGACCGTTTAATCTCGTTATAAAATTAACAGCTTATTTATCACTTTTTGATGAAATTCAATTATCAGTACCAATAGAGCTACTAGTCTACTACTATTACTCTAGGATGCCTTTTAGTTTAATATTTTTTTTTAATCTGGATATCCAACCCGTTATGCGAGCCGACTAATCCCAGGGTGACCACCTGTTTTGCGGGTAGCCCGGAGTCACCGTATTTGAACCTCCATGGTCACAATAGGGTTTTTATTTTTTCTAAGATTTGAACTTGAAACCTCCAGGTACTTTGATCTTTGAGCCCAAGCTCAAACCAATCAAGCACCATCCTTATTGTTTTGTTTAATATTATTTATATTCCAATTAAAAATAACATCATGTAAATCAAATAAAAAATTCAGAAAAATGGAATTAAATATATAGTTCTTGATTCAAATGTCCATTTCTCTTGTATAAATTGGTTTTTTAACCATTCTTTTTTCGAGTTGACCTAAATGTCGGTACTTCTGCAATATTCATGTACGTAATATTGCGAACCCAGCTAAAGGCAAAAAAAATCAAATTCAACACAGATATGCAATTGCGATAGCTAAATATGCAATTGCGACGCCCAAGTTTGTAATTGCGACGATAAACTGGTTGAACTTGACCTTTTCTTTTGTATTTTTTTTATTAATCTGAATATCCAACTCGCTATGCAATCCGACTAATCCCAGGGTGACCACGGATCACCTGTTTTGCGAGTAGCCTAGAGTTATTGTATTTGAACCTCCATGTCCATAAAGGGATTTTTTATCCTCATTAGATTTGAGTCTTGGACCTCCAGACACTTTTGACCTTTGGAGCTCAAGCTCAAAACCAATCAGACACCATTCTTATGGTTTTCTTATGTCTTTTTACGACATGGATATTGGGAAAGTAGTGGGATTTGAGTCAATCTGGAATTTTTTTTATTAAAACATCAATTTAAATGAGGGAAATAATAATTTGAGCTAATTTTTCTTTTTTTATATTTCATTTAATCAACCAAGAGGGTATTTGGGATTGCTTATAAAAACAATTTATTGACTTATTTCGGTGTGGCACCGATAATAAGTACTTTTGAGTATTTGGATAAACAACTTATATCGGTGTCAAACCGATAATAAATAGTTTTTATAGAAGTTAAATCATTTTGACTTATAATAAGTTGATAAATGTTTTTGTAGAAAAATATAAGTTGTTTCAAATAACCAATCCCAAACACCTTAAAATGTCAGAAAATATGGTTTATTGAGATTTAAATTTATTTAAAATATTTTAAACTCATTGCAAAATAGATATTTATATTGTAAAGATATGAATTTTCAAAATATAAATCATAACTCACATCTGACTAACCATTTTTTTCCATTACAATTTTTGGCTTTTATCTCATTTGGAATTTAAATTTTGGCCACAATTTTTGTGATATTCTTGTATTACTATAATTTATTTATTTACAATATATTCAATTATTTAATATAATAAAAATCGGCTCCAATTATAAGCAGTGTTCTTTGCATACACACACACATATACATATATATATATATATATATATATATAATGGTGAAGAATTGTGTGAGAAGAAAAGTTAGGTGAGAAACATAAGAAGAAATGCGTATCCTTGATCACCTTTAATTTCAAACAAACTCACCTCATAAATCGTGTTTGATACGGGATTGATCCGGTGCATCTCATCTTGATGCATCCGATAGTGAAGATCTCTTCTTACGCTTCTCATGTTAACTATAATATACATATTTGTCGCGATAGATTTATCTTTGTTCTTAAGATTTAAAGTTTGATCTTATCACCGTCATGCTTCATGCCTTATGCAATTTGAAACCTTGATTATAATCTATTTTACTTATAATAAAATTATAAATAAAAAATTATATAAATATTTATTAATTTTAAATTATATTACAACATAAATGCATTTAGCACTTTAATTTAAAAGAATTTATGAAAAAACAAATTTCAATACATTATTATTAAAATCCAGCGAGAAATGTTTCAATAATTGCTGTATAACCCCTTCAAGATACTCATATTGCCATTTTTCATCCTCCAACTTTCCTTCTCCCAATTTTAAAAGATTTCAAGGATCTCTGTAATCGAACGGTTACAAAGAGGACACGACCCTTGCTTCGACCACATCGCTCTGGAACACACCCTACAGTAGGTGTGCCCACAGGGGATCAACGCCGCCCCTTTATTTCTCTCTATGCACAAGCAGCACAGGGTACCAACTGCGCTGTTGCCGTCGTCGTCGTCGTCGTCGTCCGCCGCTTCCTTAACATCTCCGCCGTCAATTCCTTCAAACAGTCTCACCAACGATTTCAATGGCTTCATTGTCGTCCCATCCCTGGGTCCCACGTTTATTTGCCAACGGTCTGCCGCCAATGCCGTTGCAAGGTTCATGGTGGTGGTCGGAATGTAGGATGCTGGCAGTGGGTTGATCATCTCAAAAGCCGCCGGAGACTGATCGGAGGAGGTCATCAAGGGTCGTTCTCCGGCATCGATATCGAAAACCCAGTTAGAGGTCCCGCAAAAACCCATGATCCGGTTCCATCCAAGCCGTCGTTTGAGGCTCTTCCACGACCGCCATCGCCGCCGATCGCCACCCTCCATTTTTACCGAGGATTCCTTGAGCTCTGAACTCAAACAGATTCAGATGTAAAAGTAAAACCCACTTCCATCCTCTGTTTTCCTGCAAATTTCGACCAATTGAATTGCGAAAATAACACAAAATCCAAGAATCCCAATTCAGTTACAACCTACCATTCAGCATTCATAGTTGGTGGTAAGCAGTTAGAAACCATGGGTGTGTAGTTTGCAGCTGTAAATGAATAATGGCAAATGGAAGAGAAGAATAAGAATAAGCAGCAGCTTAAGTAAGGAAAACTGGTCTGGATAAAATCTGCACATATTCCCACCAATGGCTTATTTGTTATCAGTTTAACGAGACTCTTAGCTTATTCGATCAGTTATACATGACTGTTTGGTAGTAGTTTAACAATAAAGAAAGTGGGTTGGGGAGAGTTTTATATATAAAGTCAAGTTTTTTATAAACTTGTCATTTGTAATTAAAAAGCACGCTCATTCCATGTATAAAAAAACCTTATAAACAAAAGCATTCTCACATTTTATACAGACAGCTTTATTCATACAAGATTTAATGTAAAACCAAGTAAAGAGTCTCTAAGCTATCTCCAACGGGGACAAAAAAAAATCTTACATCAAATTTAACATTAAATCACTCTAATGGGGCCACCAAATTTGATGTAATACTATTTCTGGGTCTGGTTTTTGTGAAAATGAAAATTATGATGAGAAAAAGCAATACGGGAACTCCATTTTTGGATTAATTCTAATTGAAGATCAACACTAATGCGGTGTATCAAGATGCACCAGATCAGTTATCGTGATAAGCACAATTTATGGGGGTGGGTGATATTAAAAGTAATCAGGGGTTCATATCATTTCTTACGCTTCTCACCAGTCTTTCTCTGTCGTCGTCACCTGCAAGATAAGACCAAAATTTTGACTTTACTAAACTTTAACTCTTCTTATTTTCACACGATAAAACATGAAGAAAATATAAACACAAAATCTTATGTTTTTGTATAAGATTTGGTGTTCCCATTGAAGTAGATTTATCAATTACACCGATTTTTAAGGTTTTGATGTTACCCACTGGAGATCCCCTTAGGGGTCGGTTACTATCTGCGGTCGCTTACTTTACCCCGATTGAAGATGACAAAGATTAAGAATCTTACTCGATAAAATATGTAGTAAAAATTGAGATTCCTATCAAATAAATATAAATTTTCATAATATACTAAATCAGAGACACGAGCGATTTTCGATGCGATTTTGGTTGCGGGCCAAGTCTCCCTTACACCATTAACCCCCCTCACAAATATTATCACATGTGATAAGAGTGTTGTTGATATGATACTATAATCCATCAAGACCATCACATGCGATGCTAAATCATAGATGCAGACAACCTTTGGCACGACCTAAGTCGTAAAACTCGTCGTCCGTACATCACAAAGTCCCCTCACGCATATTATCACATGTGACAAGAGTGTGTTTAAACCTCCATATATATATATATATATATATATATATATATATATAACCAGAAAAAAGTCTTTAATTCTTTATCATTCATTTGTAAAGAAAAACTTGTGCATCAAATATAAAGTTGCATTTTTGATAAAGTCATGTTGAAAGGATGTGATGTAAAGAAATAAATAATTGGATGGATATGATTCATCATTGATTTTGATTCATCATTTTTCATGCATAATCCAACGGCTACGATTTATTTTGGGAAATTATTCTAAATAAACCTTTTTTATATCCAAAAAAGGAATAAATTATTTATATTAATTTTATTTAAACCGGCAAACATTGATGTCTAACTTCTTTTTTCCGTACATTTTAAATGCAATAAAAACATCTCCAATAGCTATGTAATTTTAAGAAACCGGAGATTTTGAAAATGTCTATTTCAACAGTTATGTTAAATTCTCTTCTAAAATAGAGATAATAAATACTCGGATAACCAGTTGTAGACTAATTTTAGATGTAACGTACTTTCAAAAATTTTATTTTGATATCTAAGATGTAAAGTTTTAAACATTTAAGTACCCGAGTAACCAATGGTAGACTAATTTTAGATTAAAAAGAATTTATGTCACTAACCACGTCAGCAAATAATACTTAGTTGAATGTCACATCAGCATGATAACCGGTTAATACTTCAACCGGTCGTCCGAGTACTTAAATGTTTAAAACATTATATTTTAGATACCAAAATGGAAGTTTTGAAAGTACGTTATCCAAAATAGAAATCATATTTAAATACGTTATTTTTCCATGTAATTTGAACTAACATAAATTATAAAGCTGAAAATCATTTACATATTTTTTTTGGAAGAAGAACAAATGAAAATTTAAAAAATTAACACCTAGAAATAAAAATAAAAATAAATTATAATAATTATTTAAAATCATCTGATCAGAATTATAAAATTAAAAATAATAATAAAATGTCGTGTCGGAAAATGTGTAATGTTATTTTTAAAAAAATGCTTTACGCGATAAATAATTTAAATAAAAATGTTATTTAAAATGCTTTACTTGATTTGTCGGAAAATGTTATTGAAAATGTGTTATGTTATTCAAAAATCCGATCAATCCAACCCAACGTGAAATAATTTAATCCAAAGCAATCTGACGTTTAATCGAGTTGTAAAATTTTCAAACTGTAAGTATTGGGTTGATATTGGATTACTACTATTTGAACTCAACTTAACTCAACCCAATGAACCCGAAATACTTTTATTTATTGAATTTAATATGATTGTTGAGTTTATAATAATATATACATTACACAATTACACTATCACGTATGCTCTTCATATATAGATATTTTCAATCTATTCTCTATCTCTATATAACTCATTCATATATATGTTCAGTAACTGTGAACATATATATGTAAATTGAGAAAATTAATTGAATGTGATATACCTAAAAGTATAGATAAGTTATATCAAATGGTTGATGATAAGAAATTATGAGTAGTGAAATAACATATTCAAGATTAGAAAAATATTATAATGTACCAAATAATCAATCCAGTCAACTCGTATGGTTTTAGTTGGGTTGATTTAATTTTTGGTTTAAGTTGGGTTGAGTTAAAAAATTTCAAACTGTAAGCATTGGGTTGGGTTGTTCAAGTATTTTCAACCCGATCAACTCAACCCACAAGCATCCCTAATCTGATACACACACACACACACATATATATATATATATATATATATATCCATATTTGTGTTAAATTAAGAAAATAGCTTTTTTCACATAATCAATTTAAATAAAAATTGATGGCATTATTTTTAAGTTGAGGGTCCTGTTGCCACTGAATGGTGGGATACTCTCATCATTAAAACGGCTTTAATCCTTGACTTTTTTTACACCTTTCTTTATTTATATATATATATATATATAGAGAGAGAGAGAGAAAGAGAGAGAGGGGTTGGTTATTATACAAACTTTGACATTTGTGCAACCAATACAACCCAATCTCAACCGTCCATTTCATTTGATTAATATGTGATTTCATAAAAGTTTTTATTGTTTTCTAATATAAAGTATCGATCATAATTAATGAACCATATTCATCTTCCATAAATATTCAAATCATAATAAATGAACTCTAATCATTTCCATAAATATCTCAATATATTGGGTTGCATTGGTTGTACAAATGCGATGGGTTGTATTTGAAACAAACTATATATAGAGGTGGGTTATTATACAACCTCTTACATTTGTACAACCAATACAACTTAATCTCAACCATCCATTTAATTTGATGAATATGTAATTTATAGAAGTTTTGATTATTTCCTATTATAAAGTATTAATCATAATCAATGAACTGTATTCATATTCTATAAATATATATATATTTGAAACAAACTCTCTCTCTCTCTCTCTCTCTCTATATATATATATATAGTTTGTTTCAAATACAACCCATCGCATTTGTACAACCAATGCAACCCAATATATTGAGATTATGATTAATACTTTATAATAGGAAATAATCAAAACTTCTATAAATTACATATTCATCAAATTAAATGGATGGTTGAGATTAAGTTGTATTGGTTGTACAAATGTAAGAGGTTGTATAATAACCCACCTCTATATATATATATATATATATATATATATATATATATATATAAAAGGGTCTAAATTTAGTTATTTTAAAGAAAATAGTTGTTTAATAAGATTCAATTATTAGGTATTATAAGGGTATCACACAATGCAACGAAATATATCTCGGTTTTAATGTTTTGTTTTGTTTTTTTTTTTTTTGTTGATATTATAATACGATTTTATGTGGTTTTGAGAAAGTAATAATGTTTTTATTTTTAAATAAAATATAAATATGAATGTATCATAAAAAATTGAAAAAAAAAAATATTAATATTAATGTGAAACTTACGATTTAAAATTTCTCGTTTTTATGTATTTATTTAATTCATTTTTTTGGTTAGTAGTGTAATATTTTATAAAGATTATAATCAAATATTTTTTAGAACTAATTATTTATACAGGGCACTAATCAAGGAGATTTAATCTCAAGCACAAATTAAATATTAAATTAGTAAATTAATAATTTTGTTCATTTTAACTTAAAATATTAATTAAGGTCATTTTAGGGATTTTATAAATATCCTCTCTCCAACGAATTTTTTCCTCTCTTCGGCGAACCTTGTTTCGATGAACCTTATGTGAATATAAGATACATGTTGTGACACTTACAAATGATATTCACTGTGATACCCAAATATACATACAATATTCACTGTGATACCCAAATACACATACAATATTCTCTGTGATACCTAAATATACATACAAGATGCATAATATGATACCCTTTATCTGATACCCTTTGTAAAACACTGAAAATAACGAAAATGCACACTATGATACATTTCATAAACAAATAAAATATATTGTGATACACGTGAAATATTGTGAACGTTGTCACTATGATACACTATTCACAAACGTCTTTAAAATACAATGTA